CTTTCAGTAAAGACCATTACGGGCTCGTTCTTGCTGCACACTTACAGGTGTTTTCCTCCCAAAAAGGAAAACCTGCGACTTGTAAGCGAGCTTGACTTTCAAAATAAAAGCACCATGAATGTTTGTAGCTCATCGTTCCCCTCATGGACGTATCGATCAGGTTTCGAGATCCAACCCTGAGCTGGCTTTCTGCACTAACGCTAGCTCTCCCATTAAAGTGACAAACGATCTGAGTGGATACGATGGATTTGTTCAGGCAGGAAGTGGAAATGCCAGCTGGTCTGGCACATTCCCATCATGCTACATGTGAACCAGTACGAATTACCAACACAGACTTTGTACAGGAACAGTCAGCATGTGTTATAGAACGTGTGTGTGAGGAGGAGGTGTGGCCGTCATTAATAAATGTTTCCTGTGCAGTCGCAGAGGTCAGAGCAGGAAAACACATTTTAGTTTTTTAAAAGATCAGCGACGTATTTTGTGTCTTTGTGTTTTTATCTGATCCACAAAGTCGTCCTGAGCAGTGACACACCTGCTGCTGGCTCAGTGTCTGTGTGAGATGTTCGATTCCCAACCAGTCGTGCCTTTGCTGCTCACCCGTTTGTGATCTGACACGATGGACACACGGACCCTAAACACAAGAAACCCTCACGCTGATACTGTGACTGATACAAATACTGTGTAATTACAGTTATGGAGCAGCTGTTTTTATACTTACAAGATAGTACTGACCCCCAAATATTGTGGGATTATACCTTCAACCAAGATCCTTTCCTAAATGTAATGTGACAAAACCAGAGCACAGAGGTTCAAACAGAGCATGGTCCAGACTGCAGGCTGATAAACCTGCTCCTGCAACCCCTAAGACAGGTTTCAGGTCTCTAACACTGGCAGGTTATGTCTTGGTGGACAATAATGTCAGCGCATCAAAGCAACAACACAAAAAAACACATTGATGATGAGAGTGGGTTGAAAGACCTATAGCGCCATCGGTAGAAACCAGCAGATCCAGTGAGCCGCTGCGAGCAGTGGTCAAGATATAAAACCCAAATGTAGACATGTAACACCAGAGACACTGACTGTTACTGAAAGCCTGTGAGCGATGGGTTGTTGGTGTCTTTCTCTGGATGTGGTGCCTTTTTTTGTTGTTGTTTTTTGCAGCGCATTGTGTTCTGCGTCCTGATTGGCTGTAGACCATTGTCACTCACTCTCGTGCCGTGTCCAGTGCAGAACGCGTTCAGCTTGTCAAATTTACTTAAATCTTCGATGCTAGCAGTGTGACTCTGAAGTGCTGCATGTTTGTAAGTTTTCTCCCAACAAACACCAATGTCGATGAAACGTTTGCTCCGTCAAAGTCTCCTGCGGCAGGAAGATGCTAACCATCGCACAAAGATTTGGACAAGAGGCAGGTAGAAGTTACCGTATTTTCCGGCTTATAAGGCACATTAAGCGAAACAAAACAGTCAGATAAGTCAAACTTTACTCAGCTCATTCTTCTTGCTTCCTCCACTTCCACTGATTCATTAGTGATTCATTAATGTTGAATTCTCTGGCAGCGGCTCTATTCCATGTTCTGGACCTGAAAACAGGGTTTGATCTTTGGTTTCATCCTATAATACTGGACTTTCTACGAAGGTTTGAACTTTAAACAAGAGAGAAAAGTGTGAAAATGTTCATGCCTGTCTGAGAAAAGTGTATAAAGTGTGTAGTGAGGGGTTTTCAAAGCATCCATAATAATTGTAAAAAATAAAGCTGCTACTTCGTGGATTTCACCTATTGTGGGTTTAGAACGAGGGAACACTGTAGTACTTTAAGCCACAGGCGTCGAACTCCAGGTCCTGCAGGTTTTAGATGTCCTTGATCCAACACAGCTGATTTAAATGGATAAATGACCTCATCAACACGTCTTGAAGTTCTCCAGAGGCCTGGTAATGAACTAATCATGTGATTCAGGTGTGTTGACCCAGGGTGAGATCTAAAACCTGCAGGACACCGGCCCTCGAGGCCTGGAGTTCGACACCCGTGCTCTAAGCCATCGGCGTGAGTAATAGGCGGAACAATTACCTTCTCTTCCACTAGAGGGCAGTACAACTATCTGCTCTAATTAAATGGGTTGCCAACTGCCAGTAAAACAGAAGAAGATGAAGAAGAAATTACAAAATCGTCATGCTGTGAGACGACGCAGTGCGTAATAGCGTAATCCCAGATAAATGTTTGAAAAGAAAACGTAGTCCGTGAGACCTGGTCCTGGAGAAAACTGCGACCCAGATGAAGGCCGTAGCATGAGCAGTGAAAGCAAAGCAAAACAGGTATCCTGGGGACAAACCGAGGCTGGTGCGAGGCAGAAAACGATCAAATGATTTTTGTGACATTTTGCTTCTGTGGTGTGATTTATCTAATGTGAAATATGTGCCGTGGCTCCAAAAGGTTGGGAAGCACTGGTCTAAACCGGCGGTCCCAACCGTGTTTGCGCCACGGACCGGTTTATGTCCAACAATATTTTCACAGACCGGCCTTTAAGGTGTCGCGAATACAACAAATACAATACAACAAAATAAAACCAGTACCAAAAAAAGAAAGATTTATTCGTAACACACAGGAACAGACCCAGGGAAACAGAGTTAACAATAACCCTGAACATCATAGATTTCACACCCAAGCCTCAACTTGGGTGTGGACTCACAGACTGACACTGGTCCGTGGCCCAGGGCTTGGGGACCGCTGGTCTAAACTACATCTGGTACTCCACCTGCCTCCTAACCTACCTGAGAAAATGACCCTGTGTTACAACATGAAGAGAAGCGGTTTCTGATGAGTTGGCAGTGAGAATATGTTGGGGCGCTGATCTAACGATTCACTGTCTCCATGCTCTCTCTCCAGAAGGAGGACATGCAGTGGCCTCGAGGAGAACAGGAGGTTCCCACCTCCGTGTGCAGCCTTCCCTGTAAAACTGGCGAGAGGAAGAAGGTGGTGAAAGGCATGCCCTGCTGCTGGCACTGCGAGCCCTGCGACGGATACCAGTTCCAGCCCGACGAGTTCACCTGCAAGCTGTGCTCCTACAACATGAGGCCCAGCGCCAACCGCACGTTCTGCCAGCCCATCCCCATCACAAAGCTGGAGTGGCACTCGCCCTGGGCGGTGATTCCGGTTTTCCTGGCAATGCTGGGCATCATCGCGACAATCTTCGTCATGGCTACGTTCATACGGTACAACGACACGCCGATCGTCCGGGCATCTGGCAGGGAGCTGAGTTACGTCCTCCTGACTGGGATATTTCTGTGCTACATCATCACGTTCCTCATGATCGCCAAGCCAGATGTCGGCGTGTGCTCGTTCAGAAGGATTTTCCTCGGTCTGGGGATGTGCATCAGCTACGCCGCCCTCCTCACCAAAACCAACCGCATCTACCGAATCTTCGAGCAGGGCAAGAAGTCTGTGACGCCGCCGAGGCTGATCAGTCCCACCTCGCAGCTCGCTATCACCTCCAGCCTAATCTCGGTCCAGCTCTTAGGGGTGTTAATCTGGTTCGGGGTGGACCCGCCCAACACCATCATAGACTTCGACGAGCAGAAGACCCTCAACCCCGATCTGGCTCGAGGGGTGTTGAAATGCGACATCACGGATCTCCAGATTATCTGCTCGTTGGGTTACAGCATCTTACTGATGGTGACGTGTACTGTTTACGCCATAAAGACCCGCGGGGTCCCGGAGAATTTTAACGAGGCCAAGCCCATCGGCTTCACCATGTACACCACCTGCATCGTGTGGCTGGCCTTCATCCCCATCTTCTTTGGCACGGCGCAGTCGGCAGAAAAGGTAAGACTGACTTACAGTTTTGGATTTTTTAATTTGTGGAAATATTGGTGATGAAGTTTCTGCGTCATGTTAACTCTGCCAACATCAGCAGCTTGGTACCAACCACCTAACCAATAACATCTCCACAGAGGATCAACCCCAAGTCTCCTGGCTGAAAGTGTGACTGATACGTGCAAGCTGCACTTTTGTTTTTTTGGAATGATTAATGAATCATTAATATAGATATATATATATTAATGATTCATTAATCATTTATATATATATGTGTGTGTGTATGTATATATGTATATGT